TGACTGCATTATGTAAAGGTGTTCTGCGTCCCGCGGCCTGGGCAGAAGAGTCTCTGTTTTATTAGCCTGACAGTTCGCAGCAACTGGAATTGAAATTGATGTGATCAGAATGGCAGTGCCGTATCTGCTGATTAACTAGATAGAAAGAATATTGGCTGACACGGAACCTGGCACAAATGTTCCTTAAATCTGATTGTTCTGGCTAGCAGGAAGCTGAGAGCCATCTAGCATGAATTTCCCAGTAGAATTGCAATGAATGATGAGTGCTTAGAGATAAATGAAAAGTAAGAAAATCCATAAATGAATTAATAAGGAGCAGAGATGAGAAACATATAAGATGGGGGTGACAGAGATAGAATACATGAAATACATGATTGCCCACCTTCGAGGGTCACTGAAGAGGATGCTGTATGTTCTTTGTATGCCAATTACTTGCTGTCCCTGTATTTGTGTGCTCTTTAAGCTATTTTAGCAGAGACAAGCTACATAATATATAATTGTATGATGAGTCTGTGTATCAAGGATACATTTTGTTAATGAACCTTTCTGGGAAATGCAGAAGGAAGCACAGTTCTCATTAAAATCAATCATTTTGTTCACACACACGTTGGAACCTTGCGACAAGTGTGGTTGTCTCTACACTAGAACTACAAGTATGTAGTTCATAAGATAGGGAAATGTTAGAAATGATATCTTGGGGGACCATATTGTATGGTTTCATTATTGAAATATAAATTTCCCTTGGTGTGTGTTACTCATTGAATATGGATGGACCTCACTCAAGAGAATCAAAAAAAGTGAAATGAGAAAGTTGGCTACAGAGCAAAAGTGCTAGAAACTTATTTTTGTTAATAAAAGATCATCATAATAATATTTTGGGTGCCATTATACACAGGTAAGCACTGTGTAAAAAACCTTCAATGGTTATCTCATTCAATCCGAATATTAACTTTTCGACATGGGGCTATAATCACTCTCATTTCATACATAAAATAAGTAAATGGAGGCAGAGAGAGTGCAATCATTTTTGCAAAATTACAAAGCTAATAAGTGGCAGAATTAGGATCTGAATCCTAGTGTATGCAAACTCTTACCTACAAACTCTGTTGTATCTCTGGAAAGATCAGTATTTAGGCTTGTATTTGATTGTGGCCGACTAATAGCCCTAAAATAGAAGGACAGAGCAAGGCAGGATAAGGAGTATTAGGCTTTACTTAGCAGTAGAGGAAATTAGACAAGAAGAAGAAAATGGTCTGGGGTAAAGTCAACGTAAATAGAATGACCAGATGATTGCCCTGGACCTGTTTACCACCTCTGACCCAGGTCCCAAGCCCACAATTTTAGCTTCATTTAGACTGTGTTATGTTGTGGCTCCAATTTTGTCTGGTGGGTGTGTTTGTGTAAGAGAAGCCTAGAAACAAATGTCCTAAAATTCTGTCATTCCCAAAGAACACAAGGCACCATGTGGGATAGATACCGGAAGACAGCTCTACTGATGGTGGCCAGAGCAAAAGAGATGTGACAAGTGTGTCTGAGACATGTGGTTCCTAGTGTATTCGTCTGGTGTGGATGATGAGAGGGAGTCTGACAGCTTAAGATAATATCTTTCCCTCTTCCGGGAAGGGAATATTAATTAATGATGATAAAGAGCATGTTGGTTTAATGGACAATGACAGTTCACCCAGCCAAGTGGAAAGGTTTGTGTTGAGAGTGAAGCCACCTGGCTGACAAATTCTGAATGCCCAAAATGTGTGTATTCATGACTGTGTCACAGGGGGTGTCATGAAAGACATAAATGGTGACTGATGAATGTTCTGTTACACACATAGTGTCTTCTCTATGTTATAAGTATTCTATCTTTAAAAGTGAAAGTTTAACAGTTGTGATGATGGAGCTTGTACCTTGATCTCTTGGGCGAAAGACTGGGTCTTAGAATTCAGGATAGAAAATAGGGAAGAAAAATGTTCTTTCATCCAGAACATATTTAGTACAGGACATAGAATTTACCATCTAATCATTTAAGGCAATTGTCCCCCTAGGAGGGAGTCCGGCCTGATCAAGCCAACGGGGAAGGAAAGGACATTTAGACTTTTTTTTGTCAGTGGATTCCTTGATTGCAGAGGCAGCTCTGGTATCTTCCACATGTGCGTCCCTTCTGGCTGGGATTTTCTCTTTAGAACAAGGAAACATCTTATCCCCAAACTCAAAACATCATGGTCATGAATATCTTTTCTTTCTTTCTTTTCACAGTTTTTGATTCATCTTTTTCATTTTCTTCAAATTTTAACACTTTAGATTTACAATTAAAGTCTGAGACGAAGAGGGTGGGAGGAATCATTTTCCAGTCAGCATCAGGGGCAGAAATAAGCAAAAACTCTTGTACAAGAGTCTTCTCAACTTAACCTCCACGCAGAACACATGAACGATTGGGACAGGAAAGGACCCTCTACAGGTAAATTTTAAAATTTTTTTAAAAAAGAGATACCTATGTTGTTTTCTTCCTTTAAATCATCAAAGAAATCTAAGTCCCAGTATCTAGCATATTCTAACTCTCAAGAAAAGTCTGTCGAATAAATGTATAGTTGCTTCAACATCCTAGGTGCTATATCCCCAGTACTTAGAAGAATGCAAATAGTAGATTATCAAATAATATTTATTGAACAACTATTGAGTAAATGTACTAAAGAATTAATGAAAGGCTGCTTCCTGTACATACGATATCCATGTATATCTCTCTCAGGCTACTCTAGTATGAGAGACAAGTTTGAAGAAATAATACAGTTAAATGTGTGGGCTCTAGAGATAGACAGACTAACTTGGAATCCAGTTCTAAGACTCTCTAGAGAATGGTGACCTTAGGCGAGTGATTAGTCACGTCTAAACATCAACTTTGCTGCTTGGAGTTCATGGACAGAGTGATGTGCTCATGGTTTCAAAGCCTTTTATGTAATGCCTAACATTTCATAAGTACTCAGTGAATTTGGGGTACTGTTATTGCTGTTACATTTTCTAATCCAGAATTCTTACTACCTATTTTATTAAAAACAAAAATAGAACTTCTTATACAAAGTGACTTTTTATTATTAATTGCAATGAAGGAATATGGTGGATGGAATGACAATCCAAAATTTATACTGGAGTGGGAGACCATAATGTGAGAGGTAGCAGGAGAAGCCAGGATGAATTAACTTGCGGTAAGGCACATAAGGAGCCCTAGAGAAGTTTCTGGGCAGATGGATGCCCTTACGGAGTTTGCACAGTTGTTAAGAGCCAAGATGTAGGAACCCTCTATATGTGAGACAAATTGGAGGACAGAGAAAAAGAGTTGGCGACAGTTCAGGATAAAAGAGAGATGCTGGTTTCTGGAAAAAGGCTTATTGAACTGGGCTTTGAGTGATGGGTAGTTGGAGACATGTCAGAGTGTTATCTAAGGGACTGGGGAGAAGTAGCCCATATGATCAAAGAGAGTAGGATAAGAGAAGGGAAAGTAGCACTTTGAGGCAATCATCCTGGGGCACGGTGAGTGTGCTGATGTGCTTTGTGTTGGCTTGAGGTTTGCGCTCTAACACTTCATATTTAAAGTCTAACCAAAATGATATGTAGGCTTATATGATAGTGAAGAATAAGAAATAATTCCTAATTATCTTTGAGACTTCTGGTTTCAAATTCACCACATGAGAGGCAAAGAAAGAAGTGTCTTCTCAAAATACTTGGCATCTTTGCACAGATTTTAGAAACATAGAGAAGGGAACAGATCTTTTTCCAAAAGAAGACAAACTCCCAACAGTGAGATTTGTCATTCCCGTGAGAATATCTATCTGCCTTGGAAACTCTGTGCCTACACGAAGCTCTAGGTAGTTCAGTCTTTTATCAGGAATATTACTTTTCCCTAACCTGACTCATCCCTCAGCCCCACCCCATTCCACAAATATGTGGAATGTACTATGGATACAGACAGAGGTTACCTGGCAACCAAAACATGTCCCTTCATCCTCACTGGAACCCAGACTTTACATGCACACATAAGTATACATACACATAAGTACACACACATGTCACACATTCCACATTGTGGGCACTGATATACTGCTCCCTAGATAGCCAGAGTCCTACGGTAAGAAGGAGAGGTTCCAGGAAATACCTGATGAGACCTCATAAAACAGCCCTTCAGGAAAGTGCCTCATGCATAGGAGGGTACCGAGACACAGAGAGATGGACTTCTCAGGCTCAGAGTAAAAGGAACAGTTAATGGCATAAAAAACCTAAGAGCAGGGGCGACCATCTTTGCAGACAAGGCCAAGGAAGCAGACAATAAAAAGATCCCTCAAATGAGATTTTCTCAGATAAAGTGCTTTGGCCATAAGAGGAAAATAAGCAGACCCTCTCTAGCTCTATCCCCACTTGTCACACATTCCCTTTGCTTTGCCAAGTTTTTATTCCTCAAGATAAAACTGAAGGCCAAGCTGCCAGAGATGAATTACAAAGCGCATCTCTCTGCTCAAGTGGCATTTGATAATGCCAAGAAGTCAGAGGGCAGTAAAGTCTCTGCTTCTGCAAATCAAATGAACCAGCTGCTAAACATGCATAACCCCGCTCTGACACCCTGGCCGAAATAGGGAGAGGGCAAGAAGGAAAATGGGCAATGAAACTATTGGAAGAGGTAATATTTTTATTCCCTGTGTACCTATTATAACCTTCTGGTGTGTTGGATGGTTAAGACTATGCCATTCCTCATGTATAGGTGTACTGGGGAGGGCAGACAGGTATGATTTTGTGAAACTTCTGATTTATGAAATTTAATTTTTAAATAACTGGCAGTTTAGTCACATTTAAATATGCAACAGCCTCTCAAACACATGCAAATCCAATATGAGAGTCCCTGGTGAGTAGTCCTTATGGAGCTGGTCTAGTGAATAACTAAATATTATTTGTAATTAACATATGATTGTTGGGGGGTGTCAAGTGCTTCTGGAATTTATATCTTCTACATTTGTTGAGGGTTGACAATACATAAGAAACGGGTCTGGCTGCCATCAAAGGCCCAGAATGAGGCTAGTTTTCCTAAGCAGTTCAAAGCATTCCTCCCAGCAACTCGTGTACCCCATTTATTTGCTTAAGAAACTTGTCTTCCAAAAGTGTACAAAGTTGGCCAAACTCTAAATTACTCCAGATGCCAAATCAGCAGGTACAAACTAATGAGGTTTGAATGTGTCAAAAGCAAAGGCAAAATATGCATCTTGACTGATTGAAACCCAACCTGTTTGAATTGACAAATTCGGAACTGAAGTTGTTGAAAGAACTTTAGAAATCAGACAGATTTAGGTGTGAAACCAACTCTCTATTATCTCAAGTGATTACATTTTTATATCTCAGTTTCCTCATCCATAGAATTGGTGTAACAGCTGTTATACAGACAGGTTTATAGTGAATATTGAAGGTTTTACATATAAAGTACTGGGCACAGTGCTTGATACGTGGCGGGGACTAAGGCTATTGTTTCACTCTTCTGCCTAAAAATTTTCATGTGATAATATAAAAGGCATAAGTTAAATTAAATGGGCTCAGATAATGCCTGCAAGTTTATTCACTTCATCCCTCTTTGTGCTCTAGAAAGCCGCTTAATCTCAAGTTTCTGTTACCTAATTTTCAAAGTGTGGCTAACGATAACCATATCCTATGCTTACTGTGAGCATTAAATGAGATAACCTATGCATAGTGCCGAAATGCACTATTCAACATATCTCAGTTTTGCTGGGCTGTCATAATTTCAAGCAGAGTGAAATATGCATGAATGTGTCGAATAAACTCTAAAACACATGAGAATATAATACACAGTTAAAGATTTGGTATAGCACAGTTTTGGCTATCTGTTTCATAACACATAGAAGAAGGAAGGCAATCATATTTTCAGAACCAAATAATTAATAAAGACTGTTTATAATGGGAACAATGGTGTTATAGGAACACCATTCCTTTAGAGGAGGGGTTATTTAACAATTTAGGGAAACCACTACTTCTTTAAGTTTAATAATAGTTCTCCTTTGTTCAATTTATTTTGGTGGCTTAATAGAGCACTCTTTAACAGAAAAAAAAAACAATAATAATTTGATCATGAGCTTTACATGACCTCTTTCAATTGCCCAAAGCTCTAGGTAGTTCAGTGATTTTAGATAGTTTTTGAGAACATGGGCTGTGAAGACATAGAGTTCTGGGTTGAAATCCCAAGTCAGCCACTTACTATCCTGGGTATCCAGTGTGTCCTTGGGCTATGTGTCCTTGGACCTTGGACAAGTCACTTTATTTGAATGTTTCTCATGAAATAGAATAAATGGTACTTATCCAAGAGGGCTATTACAAGGATTAAATGAAATAAAGCCTGTAAGACTGTGAGTGCTAGGCCTAACCCAAAAGTAAAGTAGCCTCTACTTATTTAACATTTAGCAAACAACAAAACTGAAAGCACCAGAGTTCGTCTCTAGACAATGGCAAACTGCTACCAACCTACCCTGGAGGAAATAAGAAGCCTCTATCAAACTTACATTACGACCCTCTTAATACCGTAAAGAGCACAGATTTATTGCTTTTCATCCCACTGTCCAGAGAGTCATTATACGTAGTCATCACCCCCTTCCCATTTCTCTCATCCTCTCTCTCCTCCAAGATGAGTGCTCACAGCCGAATTTAACAGTCTTCTTCTTCTTCTTCTTCTTTTTTTTTTAAGTAAGCTAATATATCCCTTCTCAATTTGATGTATTTTTCAGCCATGTCAATTTTTCCCAGGTAGCAGGGATAAAGGGAATGTTCTTGGCTAACAAGAAGATTGACAACCAAGTGAAGACTTTCATCACGTATAACAAAGGCAGAGACTGGCGTTTGCTGCAGGCACCAGATACGGATTTGAGGGGGGACCCTGTGCACTGCTTACTGGTAAGTCTTCGTATTGAGGCAGAAAGACCCAAACAGCGAAGGCTGGAAATGAATTGTCAACAGGCAGACAAAGATGGGTCCAGGGCTCCTTTCTCAGCTGTTGAGCAAAAGGAGTCAGGCAAGGGCATGGAGGCAGTGTGTAGAGGAGTCCCAGTGCTGCCTTTGAGATGGACCAAAGAGATAAGAGAAAATGAGTAAGTTTCTTGCTCATTTCCAAGGATGTTCAGTTGCGGCCCAGTTTCTGATGAAGACCTCAAATTGTGGTTTAAAGAAGAATATAATAATTGCCATCTGTGGTGGGGATAATCCTTACATTTTCATGAATAACCTGTTACAGATCTAATGATACATGAATTCAACAGCAGAATTGATGAATGAATGCAGATTTGTGTAGTTATATTTTCTAGAAGAGATGTTTATTCATGTTTTCAGAGGAGTTTATGCCTCACACAAGGGTAAAAACTACTGATTTAAACTTATATTGGTACTCTTTATGTTTCATATATTTATGTTGAATTATATAAAGCTGGTATAGGCAAACAACAGCCTGTGGGACAAATACGGCCCACCACTTGTTTTTCCAAATAAAGGTTTATTGGAACACAATTATGCTTATTAATTTATATATTATCTATTGCTGTTTTTGCTCTATAATGGCAGAAGTGAGTAGTCATGACTGTGTGGTCCACCAAGCCTAAGAATATCTATTATTTGGTCCTTAAATAAAAAATGTTTACTTCCCCTCGCTTTGAAGTATGGCTTTCTTTTAATCATCTAACATATGGCTAATAAGTAGATCAGCATGCATTTATTAATATATTTAATTATATGTTGGCATCTGACAGAAGGATAAAAAATTCCCAAGGAGTTTACAGTCTACTTAAAAGAGATTGGATTAGTAAATGAAACATTATAGGGTCACATCTCACTCCTGTTAGTAGTTCTGGTGCTTGCCCTATACTTTACACGTGTGTAGATACTGAGTGAATGAAGGGGAGAAGAAAGCGATTAATTGTAAAACAAAGTGTAATTAAATGGTCATTTCTGTAAAATAAATCAGAAGTTGTATTTCTATTCGTAAAAGGGAGAGACCAGTATGTTAAGCTAGAGGAAAGACCTCCTAGTTTTAGTAAGGGCTTGGTGTATGTGTGTGTGTGTGTGTGTGTGTGTGTGTGTGTGTGTGTGCGTGTGTGTGTGTGTGTGTGTGTGTGTGTGTTGTCTGTCTGTCTGTCTGTCTGTATATATATATACACACACACACACACATAAGTGTTCACTCTCATCATACAATTCGGACTTTAATGTTATCCACACTCAACTTGCTTCCTTTTGTCCCATAAGGTCTGAACAGTCACTTTGCAGGTTTATCTCATACAGCTGTAGGCGGGTCACCCTCCTACTCAAGAAGATGTCAGCAACCATAGCTTGACCTTATTAGTTGCAGAGGATATCACAGTTGTCATTGTGCATCAGGGAAGCAGTATGAAATTCAGCCTCCCACTCAGCTTCTATCTTTATTACCAGCAACATACAAGGGGGAAAAAAAGCTAGTTGTTATAGTGAGTGCACAAAGCCAGTGACAGAGTAAGTAAATGTAACAATTATTATTGAATATCTACTCTATGCAAGGCCACCTTCCTAATTTAGCTATTTCAAGTTGGAGCATCATGGTATTTCACCTATGATGCATAGGATGCACCAGTGCTTTAATGTGATCCTTCATTTCAATATGCACTTTGAAGATTAGATGTCTATGAGAGAGAATTAACCATATCACCTAAAGAAGCTTTCCAGGGCATTCTAGCATCATAAATGGACTGTTAGAAATGCCTTTTACACAAAGTACTTAGTGAGGGGTTCCTTGCTCTACCTCCAGACCACTGTTAGGAAGTCTTGTGGCTGTGCCTCCAACATATAAATTCTGGGACCATCCTAATACAAGCCACCATTATTTCTTACTTCCTCCATAGTAACAGGCTCCTAAATGCTTCTCCTGTCTCTACCTAAATCTCTTCTCCAAACAGTAGCCAATACAACCTTTTTTTTAAAAAAAAATTTCAACTTTATGGAAGTAAAACATTCATACATTAAAAGTACCCATTTTAAGATTATAGTTTGATGAATCTTGACAAATGTGTATACCCACCTGGTGGTTACCACAGTCAAGATAGAACATTTTCATCACCCCTCAAAATTCCTTTGTGCCCCTTTCCAATCACTACCCACATCTCTAGCCCTAGACAACCACTAATCTGCTTTCCTTTTAGCATAGATTAGATTAGTCTTTTTAAAAATTTTATGCACATAGTATCAACTTGAGCTTTAAAAATTCATATCATGTCTCTCCTTTACCTAAATATTCTAATGACTTTCTAATTCAGGTAGAATAAAATCCAAATACTTTACCGTAGCCTGCAGGTCCCAGATGGTCTGGCCCCTGTCTACTTCTCCTGCCTGGTTTGCAGCCTCTCTCTCCTTCCTTCCTCACACATAAACCACAATGGGGGAAGATGGTGCCTGTTTACATATCATTAACCTACTATTTATGTCTTAGGCTCTTTTCATTTGTGTTTTAGGCTCTTTGCATTTGTCATTATTTTTCTTAAAATGCCCTTCTCTTAGTCTGGCTTTTTTCTTGAAATTTTGATCCTTAATTGATTATCTTAATCTCAGGGAGCCGTTCTGAACTTTCTCTAAAGTTGTAATTGTCTCAACTCCTTTTTATTCGTGACCGTTCTCACTCTTTGAAATCAGTGCATGTATTTGTCCATCTTCCCTTGCTAAAACATAAGTTCTGAGAGCAGAAGAACCGTGGCTATATTTTTGGACACTGCAAATAATTATATCAAGAATCATATGCGCCACAATGTAGGTGTTGTTGTTCTGGATGTTATGTTTGTTTGAAGCAGACCTGCCATGGATAGGCGTTGTTTGAGTTTTACGGTTGCACTCTATTGGAAGCCCTTCCTTGCCACTAACAGTTGTAGTGAAGGGTTGCTCGTGATATCTACCTCTTATGAAGTTCATGGGTTCAAGTACACCCCAAATTTGACAAAATCGGTAGGCTCATTAAGGTTGAATAAAGTTGAATTAATGAGATGTGGATGTACAGTACCCAGGAGACTTTCGGCCACCTCCTTCATGAGCCCCGTTGTTTAATGTAGTTTCAACCTGAGTTTTGTAAAATAGGCAGCGGAGTGAGGAGGGGAAAATGACAAAGGGAGTGGGGAGGAGAGACCGAAAGCACTTTATAAATATCTGCCAAGAGCACAAAATAGGAAAGAAAATCTTTGAGCTACAGGAGACCCAGACTGTTAAAAAATCTTTCAGCTTGAGAACTGGTGGCAGAGAGAAGATAAAAAGTGACTTCAGATTGTGAGTGCTTGGAAAGTGACAGTGTCACCAAAAGCACAGCCTAGTGATTAGAAGAGAGATTTTCCAGCAGGGCTGTTAACAAATGTGGAACAAGTTCAGAATTACAGCCCCAAAAGGAATGTTCCTGGTAAAATGTATTCTATAGAAATAAGACATCCAGGGTAATTTGGGCATGTATTTTTAGGATGTTGAGATTGATTGCCTCGAGGGCTCAGCTGGGATTTCTTTCTTCTGAAGATGGCATTGTACAATTAGATGCAGTATTACAGGTCACGGTCCACCTGCCTCCAAAGCCTCAAGATTGGGCTCCTGAGAAGCAAGATGTGAGCTGAGCCTGTGACAAATCTTTGGGCCCCTAGGGATAGTATAGCATTTCATGGAGAGAGGCCATGACTTTGTTATGGATTCAATTGGCAGTTTTCTGTTGGAGCTAAGCAGCCAGCTATCCCAGCAGATCCTTGACACTGCTTTTCATCCCTTTGCATGCTAAACTCTGCATATTGTGTTGGATCGGAGTGCCCAATACCCAGCCAAGTGGTCCAGGATCCTCCTTCTTCTTTGCCGTTGACCTTTTACAGAGGATCTAATAGATCCCTAGCCCCAGTTCAGGATCAGAAACAATGTGTATACTCTGATTATGTAATTTACCTCTTCCTTATTATTTATGAAAGCTCTGTTCTGGCTTTTTAGGACAATACTTAGATTAGGAGTATTAGACCTAGGGATAATGGTACCATGAAAATGGCACGTAAATGCTGTTAATACAGAGGTTGGGAAGAAAGAGAAAGTGGAATGAAGAGCTGGTTGACACTCAAATAATCTAAGTTTTTTGAGTTGGTTGATTTTATGTAGGGAACTCCGTCCTGGGGCCTCTGTTCCTTCCTGCTTCTTCAATTTGATATCAGAGCTATGGACGATGGCTTGTTAATGGATTGATTAAATCCAACAGACATTTACTGAATGCTGGCAATGGCCAAAGGATTCTGTTGGTTAAAATAAGAAATAAAAGAATAAGGCAAAAAAAAAAAAAGTGTGTGGAACCCAGAAGTCCACTATGGACTTTAAGAGTTTGTAAACCCTGAAACTGAATACAAAACTTTGTGTGCACTTGCCTGTATGCACTTTTTCTTCACAAAAAAAATCCTTAATTTGCATCAGATTTTCAAACTCTGTACCTGACCCTGAAAAGACTAAAGACTAAGTATTCAGTTGTTCCTAGAGGTGAGTGATTGATGATATCCCATGCCCTGTGACTACATAAGGACATATGAAAGGACACAAAGAACAGCTTCCAAACGTGCATGCTGGTCCTTCCTTTCCCTTTAAGTCAGCCGCTAGGTCACGGTGCTTTCAGTGTAAACGTCTATATTTTTCTAATGCAAAAAATAAGGAAAATAGAGAAGAGCCTTTGGGACAAGCTATGTTTTGACTCCACTGAATTGGAGATAATTCTGGAAAGATACTCAGGTGCTCAGTACATGTTTGCTAAGGGGAGAAAAGAAAGCAAGAAGGAAGGAAGAAGTAGATAAAGTGCCCCCGGCCTGTGCTAAAATTGCATAAGAATTAGAGAGCTTTGTCTTCTGTCCTTCAGGGGTTTGTAGTGGCTTGATAGCCGTTATAGTAATACTGTCTATTAATTTTTGGTGACTTAACTTTGAAAAATGTCCAAAAATGGTCAAGTATAATATTTAAGTTAAAGTAGCATAGATGATCACTTAACATTGTTTTTCTTTGAACATTATAGACTGTATAACTTTCTTGAAAAAAATGGAGGAAAGGAAAATAAAGCCACAGAATATTCTCCTTGTACCAGCTGGGGGCAATCCAGTACTACAAATGTGAGAATGGAGAAAAAAAAGTGCACCAAAAAGATCATTTCTAATGTTGCTGCTATTGCACGAACTGGTGTCTTTTCTTCTCAAATTAATTTATCCTCGGCTTCTGAAAGCCATAGCAACTAAGAGCAGTGCAGAGATGGAGAATTGAAAATGCCTTCTTTCTTTTGTAATGGCAAGTGCCCTATAGCAAATAACCTCTGGGTTATTTGAGCTTTACAATCTGCCAGACTGTTGAGTGATAAAGTTTGTGGAAAGTGGCAGCTCGGGATTGCAAGCTGGGTCCTTCCTTGTTCAGCGATGTCCTGCCCCATTGGGTGGTGTAAAGGTGCTCCATTCAACCCATACATAATTCCCAAGGAGGAATGCAATTCTTGGAATGCCAGAGAGCTACTCACATTACTCTGATTATGTGATTTACAAATAAGCCCATGTACTTCTGGCATTGTTCTGAGTAAAAGAGTAATCTCTTTCATGTCCTAACATAAAAGCTTTGCTTGATAGTTCAAGCTTTTATTGACTGTCTTTTTTGATTCTATGCTAGGTTCCACAGAACATACAAATTAGTACTTTGATGTTTTCTCTTTATTAGTAGGACATATCTCTTAGGGAGATAAACCAAATATACCTCGAATAGATAATATAGGATTGTGAGTGGTAAAATAAACTATCATAGATCAGAGTAGGGGAGATCCTGGTAGGCTGCAGTTATCAGGAAAACTTTCGTGGAAAAATGGTTAACGCCTTTAATTTATCTTGTCTCAGCTTCTGAATATTATGCAACACTGTCCTGGAACCTCTGCAACATAGACCCGTGCTAGTCTTCCTCTTGGGCAAAAGAAAGCCAAGCGTTTGGGTCTGATTGTTTCTTATAAGGGTGATCTTTCTCGCTCCTATTGAAATTCCTTTTTTGAATGCTTTACATGAAATTTTTATGTAAAACCAATAATTTATTACTGTCATTATTCCTTGAAAGTTTACTCTTTGTGTCAGCAGTGAGGAAAAGACCCTATTGCAATCTACTGTTTTATTTCACCAGTATTGGGTGGCTTTTATTTCTGAGTTTTATTTTTAGTTTGTCATTTACTCTATCCCATATAAATTTAATCATTGTATTGCTCACTGTCTGAATATCTGCTGGCTGAGTCTTATAGAGCAGAATAAAAGTAATAACAGAGATACATTGGTAATTCCAAAAACTCAAGTCGATAAGATTAGAAAATAATCTTCCTGAGCAATGAAAAGAAATGTGGGTTCAGATGCAAATTTGTAGTTTTCGTCAGCTCAGTACAAGAACTATGAAATTTCTATAAGATTTATTATCCTGTTTTGGAAAACTGTTGATATATTAATCAGAGAATTGATCAAGATTTTCATACACGAATAAACAAGTCCCTTAAATTTTCACTTAAATTGCTATCACTGGTACATTTTGCCTACAAGTATGACTTTTATATCAAATAATACTGATTTTGATAATACCCTGATACAGACACTATGTCAATTGTCTGGTGGATGTTAGGAGAATTTCACATATCCTACAGCTTCTTGCATACAACTGGGACCCAGGTCTCAAATGGAGCGTGGCTAAGAGATGCCAATTGACTTCTTTGAAGCTCTCCCAGCTTCACCAGACCTTCTCTCCTGACTCCGTAGCCCATTTCTCCTTAGTCATATTGGCTACATACTGTATAGCTCAACTCCTCTGCTTCTTTTCTGTGTTATTGATATTGCTCAAGCCTGAAATGTCCTTTGTCCTTCTGAATATCTCATCTTCTGTTTATATCTTTCCAATCTTTGCCTAAGGCACTGTTTTCTCCTTGAATCCTTCCTTGATCCAAAGTTGGACATCATCGCTTCACCCTCTAGAATCTCATATTTTATCTGTACTGATCTTACGGCTTTCAAAATGTATTCTCTTTATGTTAATCAATGGAAAAAAATTATATTCATTTCATAATAGGACAAAATTACAGTCAATGTAATTCTTTTATAAGTTACACCTAGGCTTTTATAGATAAAGTGCTAAAATTTTTGTTGAATACCCAAATGGCAATTAAGGCAGTTGATGAGACTTAAAACAAAGATGCTGTCTCTTTCACCACTTGGTAGTTATATTATACTTATGGACACCAGATATTTGTGGAATGAAAGATAGGTGTACCTGGATGTGTACATGGATGGATGGTTAGATGGGATGGTTAGAAGACTGGGTGGATGCTCTGAATATGGTCTTTAAATGACCATTTAGATTGTGTGCTTTCATGACACTCATTTCTCCTCTTCTCAGCCTTATTGCTCACTACACCTTCACCTGAAGGTCTCTGAGAATCCCTATACATCAGGCATCATTGCCAGCCGAGACACAGCTCCTAGCATCATTGTGGCTTCAGGTAAGAAGCTTCCTAGTTTGCTTATTGTTCTAAATGGTGCTTATTTTAAAAAACTAGATATCTGTGCTTGGAACGTAATGAGCAAGCTAAAGATCATTTTGAAAAGCACCTAAACCATTGACCCCGAAGCAAGTATGCTGAAAAACACTGCTCACACATGTTTGCAATCTAAATCCATCTCAGGCACTGCAGACTGCCCATATAGTCATCCTTAGCTCGAGCAGAAAGTTCTCTTCACTAATGGTGATGTGCTCTTTCTAGGCAACATAGGTTCTGAACTGTCAGACAACGACATCAGCATGTTTGTCTCTTCAGATGCAGGGAACACTTGGAGGCAGGTAAGAAAGTATCCTGGGCCAAGTTGCTGAAGTTTAAAAGACATAAAAAAATTACCCAACTTGATTCAATTCTGGAAACTTATCTCCTCCAGATAGTAACTTATTCACTGCACATAAATCCTATAGCTTGCCAAAGTGTTTATTTTGTTGTTGTTTTATGACAGTCTTAAAAAAGTCTTTGAGGTTAGCAAACATTTTTGCAATTTCATTGTTTTTTTGCTGTTCAATAAAAATAACCCATATTCAGAACCAATATGTAGAAAGTTTATAAGTGATGATGAAACCAAATTAGAACTGACTGAATTTTTCCCATAAAAGAAACCCAGAATCCCAAAGATTTTATCATGTAGAGAACATGGCACCTGGAGGGAAGTTGATATACCTAATGCTGAGTTACCGCCATAAATTCTCCTTGCCTTGAAGTCAGAATAGATAGCAATGAAGTGATATAGGAATAGCCATTACCCAGGTGGTGTTCCCGGATATTTAAATCTCATGTGCAAAAGATAGAGCAATAACTATCATGGCACATATGTTAGGAAAAGTAGAAATGGAATCACTTTAAACTGATGTGTTTAGCTTAAATGTTTTCTCTTTTTCTTCTGGATGAAAATTAGATACCCATAGCTTATAAAACAGGCATTTAATGAGGTAGAGCAGTCATAACAAGATATGCACCTAATGCATGGCTGTTCTCCTTCAATAAATATAAGCCACTGACATGTAATTATCACATAATAACTAGCACCGTAAATTGAAATCTAATGCACAGGTAATCACACAGCAAGGAGAACACTTTGCTTTAAATTTTACGAAGAGATCTCCATATTACGGTCCAATTGCTATTTCCTAGCTCCAGACGCTTCATAGATCCTCAGTGGGATTCACATGTTTTGAGAAGAGCAGGCAAGAAAAAATTTACCTAAAAAACCCCAGGGCTATTGATTTTGGAGGTTTATAGGAACATGGCCTATTAAACTTCCTCTGGAGAATAGAGAGCCAGGATCCAGTTTTGTTTTGTTTTTTGTTTTTCCCTTCCAACACTCCAAACAAAGCAAAGGAGTCTCTACTTTTATAGTCCTAGGATATACATTCCTGGGTATAAGAAATAAATAAAGAGGAAATAAGATTATGTCTATAGTATAGTATAACCACAGACAAGGCTATGCTAACAGTGTGACTGCGAGAAAACAGTATACATCTTACACAGAGAGGACTTAAAAACTGTTTTCAACTTATCTCCATTTGACTTCAAATTGGTTTCTCCATATTTGGAGAAAAATCTAATGATACGTGCACCCAAATATGATGATTCCATTTTGATCAGAACTACTTTATGACTTGGTAGAGAATCTATTAATTGAACAAGAACACCTTTTCTCTATAATACTTAGAAACTTTGAAATAATTATATCTGCAAAGGGCACTATAATGCTGAGAGTCTCAGCTCCATCAGTCACTGTATACATGGCCTTAGGCAAGTCACCCAATCTTTCTAAACCTTAGTAAAAGTGAGTAAAGTAGCTCTAAGTTTTCTTCCATCTGAAAATGTTACCAATAGGACAATTACCCAATATTCTGACATCATCATAAATGGAGATCAATGGAATTTACCACAAAAAGCTGGGAATACAAACACAAATACTGAACCATTCATTCATTAAATTTCTTTCGTGGTACACCAAAAATCGTTTTATGTAACTCCAGTGGTACATGTAGCCTACCTTGGGAAGTGTTGTTTGTAACTGTGTCTTCCCAAAGATTTTGAGAAACCTAACTCTGTCATGGGAGGGATTTCCCGTCTCATACAAAGACTTATTCTCTGAACTCTAGGTGTGTGTAGAAATGGATGCTTGTCCATGTGGATGTGTTTTCCTCTTCCAGATCTTTGAAGAAGAGCACAGTGTTCTCTATCTGGATCAGGGTGGAGTCCTGGTTGCTATGAAGCACACGTCTCTCCCAATTCGGCATCTCTGGTAAAGGCACCTACTGCCCATGAGCCATGCACCTGGTGGTCCCCCACTGCTAAGCTTGGAGCTGGGCTATCGGATTGTGACTGTGTTTGTAGGAAAATGTCAAGGTCTGATACAACATAATAGATTGCTTTATTAAAATAAGATTATTGCCTATAGTGTCACAAAACAGAGAGGAAGGAGGAAGGGAGACAGAGACAGGGGGAGAGAGAGAGAGAAATTGCATTATGTTTTTTATTTTTATTATTATCTTTTTTGCATATGGTTTTTAAATGTGACAATACCCTCCCCAGTACTCTATTCTTTTAGCACAGTCATAGGTAGAATGGTGTGTCAGGTATAATCTCTGAATGGCTTCAACTTCTTACAGTTACTTTTCTCAAATAACATCTCCTATAGTATAATATTTGCATTCATTATGTGTTCTGCACAGAGATCATGACCCTTCCATTCCTATTTCATTTCTCCTGATTGTACTTCCTTAGTTTTCTATTTGGAGTTGACATTCTGCAGCTCTACCTGTAGGTCTTCCACAGATGGACATGCGAAACTTAACTTCCAGAGGGGTTTTTAATAGGTTTCTTCATGTGTGTTTTTAAAAGTGGCTCTCTCTGCATGCGAGCTTGTTCAAAGTCAAAAGCCTGATTTTTCTCTTCACTGTTAGTTACTTTGGTGACTGAAGGGAAAGCTTTAGAAATAAAAGAAATTGAGGCTTAGCTTGGTGGAAGCCATCCATAGAGAAAAGCAGAGCAAAGGAAACATTCTGTGTGACCATCAGAGTCGTCTACTTCTTACTCTCGAGAGCCTGTTCTCCTGTACCCATTCACTCAGCGAGTCAACCAGGGTTTATAACAGTGAAAGAGGGATGCCTCTCAGGGTTTGATCACTTAGAGGTGTCTGGTTCAAGTTCATCTAAGTAGGTCTCATAAGGCCATTGCTCTACAGAATCACCTATAAAGTCTGCTGCTAGAATGCAGTGAGGTTTTAGAGAGAGTCACATCGAGATCTAAGATCAAATAAAATATCCAAATTTAAAATAAATTCTATCAAAGACTTATTATTATTCCAGTTTCATGCAGCTCTCCTCTTACTGATGTTGTAACACACATGGGTCCCAAATCACTTGGCTAACTGTATTTCTACTTTCTGATGTAATTAAGAACACTTATTCTTATGAAAGGCTCATTTTGACAGAGCCTTAGGTACTTTTAAAATGTGTTCTCTCCTGGTTGATAGTATCTTTCCTTTGAAAGGATTTTTTTTTTCTTTTGAGATCTGATGATTTATTTTATTTATTTATTTTTTTCCTGTCATTAGGTTGAGTTTTGATGAAGGGAGATCTTGGAGCAAATACAGTTTCACATCTATTCCACTCTTTGTGGATGGAGTTCTGGGTGAGCCTGGGGAAGAAACTCTTATCATGACGTAAGTGAAAAACTGTGCTGGCTTCTAGTCTTAATATTAATCTAGGAACATGGTTTTTAGCTAAGCCTGTTCACTTTGCTGCACTTAGGTCTGAAGTTGCTAGCAAAGTCAGTACATCTGACATAATGGTTCCCTAGGGAAGAAGAAAGAAAAATGTGGACAGCAATTTTCTTGGCTCTTTGCTATTTGTTAAGAGACCCACATTGAGGGCTGGTGGCCTAAGGGCATGGCTTATTTCTTCCCCTACTGATAGAAAATATGATTTCAATAGATAATAAAACTATACATTAAAAACTTGAATAATATACAAACTCAATATATAGAAAACTCACAGGCATATGAGAATGATTTCACTTTAAGGCAGAACACAGAGCTTGAGCAAAGCCCCATACGGGCTTTTATTTATTCCTGGCTCTTTACCTAACCCAATTTTGAGGCATATTAGGGAAACCCTGAGAACAATCTGTTCTCATGAAATTGCATTTGCACTCATTCTTGTCTGGAAAGAGATGATCATTAATTTGTGAAAGACTTGATTAATGACTCGCCTGCCTATGGGGTTCAAAACATGAGCTTTGAATTTGAAATATGAAACTGTGCTTTTCTCTTCCCCTAGAAAATTGGAGATGGAAAACAGAAGGATGGTTTTAAAGTAGTTGATCCTATCATCAATGAAAATTTAAAAATCAAAGTGAATAGTCGATACATTCTCTGATTTTTTTCTTCCCTCCTCCTTTTTTTCACCATAGAAAAGATCAACAAAAATTTAATCTGCCTAATAGCTACACTTCGAGCCATGGTAAACATAGCTAGATTAGCAATTTATTTCATAATTTGTCTTTATTCGGTTGTTATATTTGCAAAACACAGATTTAAAAAGCTGACTGAAAAAGATGCTTTGTGGCTTTTATCTACATCTACAATTGGTGATTCAAACACCTCATTAAATATGAGTCTCTCTCAGTAAGGAGAGTAGAAGGCACAGCGTAGGAAACAGTTCAAACCACTTGCCCTGCTGGCCATTTTGCCCAGCAACTGGCGAGAAGGTAAAATGGCATGGAAACCATCGGAACCACGTACATTGTTAGCAAGAGAACATAGAAGTACAATCTCAGGCCATGAAGAATGCAGTATTTCTGATTTTCTCGATGATTGATTGACTGATTGATTGATTGATTGATTGAAGTTTTTGTTAACCTATTGTACAATATATAGAAGTGCATTTTTAAGCCAAACAGCCTGGTTTCTGACTCTTCTATTTCTTTAGTGATTGGACATTGGTTTTTATATGTTAACACAGCTCTTCAAGCCTCAAGTTACCCATATGTGAAGTGGAACCAATACTAGCGACCCTCTTCATAAGTGTGTTTCAAGGATTAAATGATATGAACAATGCAATGTGCTCGGCATTATTCTCAGTTTACAGTAAACACTTAGCAAATGCTAGCTGTCATTCTAACTTGGCATTGTTATTACGATTATTTTTATCGTTATGAACTCTGTAGAGTGTTTGGACACTTTAGCCACCGCTCTGAATGGCAGCTGGTCAAAGTCGACTACAAGTCCATTTTCGATAGACGCTGTGCCGAGGAGGACTACAGACCTTGGCAGCTGCACAGCCAGGTGGGAGAAACGGAGAAGTTGAGTCCTGGATGAGAGGCGTGGGTGTGTGGGTGGTGAAAGCTAGTCATTTCAGCAGTCAGAATCTGGGTTCTCCAAGCTAAAATGCTCATCTAGTGCTTTCTTACGTGTTTTGTGTTCCACAGCAGTGAACAAACTCAAGGCTTTATAGCTCGTTGTGAAGTAATTTCTGTTTTTATTGTACTAGGATATAATGAGATAAAATTCAAATGTGCTTGGCTTAGACTTACAACTCAGAATGAAATACCAACTCAGCACAGAGATCTAAACGTAATTTATCTGAGCGTGTCATATGGATGCAGGGTGGAGGCAGGGGTGAGCAAAGGATCTTCAATTTTATCTAGTAATGCAAACAGAGACATAAAATAACAAAATATGCTCTGTGAGCAGTGCCACTGATATCCTTCCTCCCCACCGCTGTGACTGTCTGGGATTCGGTAGTGCTTCTAGCCTCTTTCCAAGGTACTTGTGGTATGAGAATGCAGAATTATTAATAGAAAACTTTCCCTTCATCTGGGCCCCTTAGCTGCTCATCTCATATCAAAATGCTTGGCTGAAAGCATCTCTCCTTTGATTTCCCAAGGCAGAAGTCATCCTTCAGGTCTCTCAATGGATATGGTGTAGGCTCTTGCTGCAAAGCCATCGCCATATTCAGGCAGTGACGCATCATATGCCCCAAACCCAGACTAAGTAATATATTTACATGTAGATGTGGAATGGAACTGGTTAAAGTGAGTTTGTTCAAGAAAGACAGTTTATAGTCGCTTAGACAAAACTCTGTTCTGGTCCTTTAGACATACAAAGAAAGCTGTGTTTGACAGTGAGGGCTACATCAGCTAGAATCACCCACTCTATTCAGAGACTCAGCCAAAAATTTATTGCTCATTTACATTGCTGGTATTTTCCCCTTTGAGATGCATAAACCTAGTGATATTCAAAGCTTTTTGAGAAACACTGAATTTATTTCTCTTGCTTGTCTGGTAGACAGACATAAAATCAGTGCTATAAAGTTGTGTGGGCAGAAGCACGATAAATTGGGGCAAAATAGATCTATATTTCTTAGCAGTACTCTTCTTTCATATGCTCATAAATGACCAAAGGTATAAATCTTTTCTTATAGGAGAATTGAACTTAATTATTACAGATTTGTTGGCAGTATAGTTGTTATACACTGAGTCTTAGTTATCTGTCTCCTTCACAGCACTGTGCCTGATACTTTGCCAAGGAAAGATTTGCTGAATACACATGGAGTTAAAGACATTTTTTGACACACACACCCCAAAGACTTTTTAAGATGTTTTTATGCGTCCCATTCTATATTAGAGCTCTAGACATTAACAAAAATGCCGTTAGCACAGAGCTGACCATCTAAGTCCAGATTTCATTAAAGTTTGAGAACATTACCTTAAACTGCCCCGATGTGGAACAGAGAAAGTCCAAGTGGTGCTCAAGTGTGTGAGATCCTTGTCTCCTTACAGGGGGAAGCCTGCATCATGGGAGCAAAAAGGATATATAAGAAGCGAAAATCAGAGCGGAAATGTATGCAAGGAAAATATGCCGGAGCTATGGAATCTGAGCCCTGTGTCTGCACAGAGGCTGATTTTGACTGGTGAGCTATGCTGTTATCCCATGGAGTCCTTCAGTATATCAAATCTACAGGGGTCTTAATGAACACTTAGATTCTAAATAATAGGAACACATATAAAACTAAGTGACAGGCCTCATATTTTATGAAATTACCTTTGGGACATCATGGTGTACTAGCTCTGTACATGTGCATATGGAAAAACCAGGAGTTTCTTTAGATTTAAAAAGGATTCAGAACATGGCCAGTAATTATCTTCATGTATATATGATAGCTCTTGGGACAAAAAAGAGAGACCAGATCCACCCTGAGTTGCTTCAAATGGCAACACTGAAAATAGTAAGTGGACTTTTCAGAGAGCAAACACATTTATGCTCAAGAAAAAACTTTCTGGAGTCTAGGATTCCTAGTAGTGGAATGATGGCCTTATATGGCAGTAAGTTTTCAGTCAGTGGTTAGCAGACTATGGCTTATGTGATTCATAGAAGACATTATTGAATGCAAGGACGGGTTCAATGTCATTGCCAGTCTATGGCTCTGTGAACCTAGTGGTAAAGGAAACATCTCCCTTCACTGGGATTAAGCTAGTTCAAACTGGAGGAGTGACTGAGACATTTAGATTAGTTCAATAAACTCAGTGCTGTGGTGGGTTTTCTGGAGTATTTGACAAGCAGAAAGCTAGCGTGTGGGGTCAGCGATCCCCTTGCTTTGTTCTAAGTCAGTGTTTAGCATTCAGGTGAGGTTAAAAAATCATTGAAGATGAGTAGGTAGTAACTCCCTTGATCATAGCCATCTCATTCGCTCCCCGCTTATTTTTTCTTTTTCTTTATTTCTTTACGTGTTTTTAGTTTAGAGAAAGCAATTACTAAATACGCCTGTCAGTGTTAAATGATTAAAACTTGACCTACATGAGAACCAAAAACATTCCTTTAACAATTTATTTCTAGCTGTGTAGCAATCACTGGTCACCTATCTGACCATCAAACTATGAACGAGTGGACTGAGGTACTGTGTACACATGTAACACATATCTTAATACAAGTAAGTCTTCTCTTGAGGTAGACCTCTGAAGGTGTTTGAGTAAATAGTGCTGGGTGAGCAGGCTTGATAAAATTGGCCACCAGCACTCAGACTGATAACCCAAGGCTGTTACCCTCTTACCTTATTGTTGATAAACCAAGCAAGCCGAGAGCCCGTGCTGGATGTCTCTGTTCTCAGCCAGAGAGCAACAGAGCTTGTTACCCCGGAGCTCACAAGAAATTCTGCAGGGGCCTTTTCAAGAGTGACTTCTGTTTTAGTCAGTGCAACATTATTACAATGACAAAAATGTTTTATCCCTGTCCTCCTACCTGTCAGGATTGACATCCTGAAATACATCTATGGGGAAAATGTCCATGGAATTTTTAGTCATACATCTGATCCCTCTTTCCGAAACCATAATGCTTCTTCTTCTTCCACCGTATTCAAGGAGGATTTGTAAAGGAAGTTAACATTTTATTTTAGTGGTTTAACTTCGGCCTTATCAAACAGTCATTCTTGTGCAGAGAGAAAATTTATCCTCTCCTAGGAAACTGAAGGGGAAAAGTGAGGTGAAATGTTCCAATTCCTCGATTTCTCCTGGAATAATTTCTTCCTTTGGAAATCTTTTCTATGAGGTTCCAAAATAAGCCAGTCTTTTGTTGTCATTGCCATTTGTTGCTTTTCTTTTTCAATTTTAAGCTAGACTAGAGTGAAGAGAACACAGGGTAGGAAAAGCAATTGGTTTTCTCTCCTTTCCCAGCTCACTCACTTCTCAGTCTTGGCCCAATTCCTCTATCATTTGTGGTTGGAATCTGCTACTCCTACCACTAAAGTGTATTCTGAGAAGAGGGAAATGAATCATGAATGAGGCCATTGTAAGGTTTTCTGTCCAAAGGGGATTCTTGTATCTGCATTGTTTCTGGAAATGTTTCAGAAGGCTCATTCTGAGTTTCTACCAGTAGCTAGAACTTCAATGATTCCACTGACTGTAGTGTAATGAAATGTGGTTGTCATTGAATGTTCCCTCTTGCCTTGGCTCTCCCCTGGACAGTCCCCCAGATGACCTTGCCTGTCATTCTCCAGCATTTGTAAAGTAATTCTCTGATATGAACATCGGGTGTCCTGTAGGCAGCAATTCTGAAGTCTTTCGACCCATGCTGTGTTGAACTAGCACCAAATCCAGCTAGTATGTGCAGAATTTTAAGTGCCAGCTGCCTGGTGGCAGGCCCCTTAGCTGAACCTGTTTCTCCCTTCCCAACCCTTGTGTGCCAGCATCTCACCTCTATTACACAGATGAGCCAATTCATACTAATGCTTCCTGATTGCTGCCTGCGTTTTGTCTGTGCATGTGGAGGTGCGATTTGTTGTCATCCTCTGTGCCCAAGTTCATCTTCCAGAAGCCAAGAATATCAGGCCACTCAGAGGGCCCTGGAGGCAAGAATGAGAAGAGGCTGGGAGAAAAGGCTTTGACTATTTCTAAACTAGAGAGAAGATTTAAAGCGGTTAGTCCCAACTGGCAGTGCTAACTGACTAGGACAAAACTTTTCCTTGGGAGAATGCTCATGACACTCCTGAAGGACATGTCTTTTTCTGCTGTGACTTTGAAGCATATGGCTTGTGCACAGAGAGACCTGGCTCGGCTCTACCTGGCAGATCCAGATGTCTTGGAAGAGCACCCCAAAGACATCATCACTAATGAGGACCGTGCCACATGTGGCTGCATTAAACTCTTCAGTGAAATTTTACACTGAGGATTGAGCTTCCACCACTGCCTGTTTACTAATTGCAGCTTTCTCTGGCCCAAGCCCAATCAGTATTGCGCATCCTCCTGACGAGAACATCATCTGTTCTCTCAGCTTAAAGGTGTTTACTGGGAATTATTGAGCATCAAGCCTTCATCTCTATACACACATCTTTCTTGCCTCCAAGGCAGCATTTCAGAAAACATGTTCTGTAAAATATCTTCATGGGTAATTGATAGATATTCTATGAGAAAATAAAAGTTTCATTTTTGGAAAGGCATTGATTCAGTGAATACCTTTTTTTTTTTTTTGACTGACTAGAGTAGAAGTTGGTTATGGACTACCATGAAATTATTCTCAGTAGTTTTGCCACCTACTGAAAGATTTCTCTTGGCTCTTTCCCCAACAGTGACTATGGTTATGAGAGACACAGCAATGGTCAGTGCCTGCCAGCATTTTGGTTCAATCCATCTTCTCTTTCGAAGGATTGCAGCTTGGGACAGAGTTACCTCAATAGTACTGGGTGAGTGTCTGAAGCAGTGACTTTAGAGGTCAACCTTTGCTGCTTCTCAGCTTACAAAATTACTACTGATGACAGACCAGGCCTACTTCGTTATAGCACAATTTATTTGCTTTTGTTCATTTTAATAATGAAGCACAGATTTGTAGTAACTGCAAATTTCATCTAAGCGTAAAACCTCAGTTGCAGATAAAGAAACGAAACAGGTTCCTTAGATGAAGATAACAATGACGATAATATATGAATCTCTTCATTTTGGGTACTTTATTTTAGAACTATTTAATCGCTTGAGGCTACCTTTTACCTTCACTGCATTGTGAGGAAAGCCAAATAAATACCTCATGTGTGCATTTCCTGTTTTATAGATGTGGAATCTAGAGTCAGAAAAGAAGCTCATTGACTTTTCAAGAGTATACTAGTGTTAGTAGGAATGTGTTTTATTTTCTCTCTGTGTCCAGTCTTGACACATCTAAGGCATGTATTCTGATCTTTATAAATCTGGAATCAGATTTTTCAAATGTTGGGTTTAATGTTCTATGGGGCTTATCCAATTTATTTAAGAAATGCCATAAAAGGCAAAATAGTCCATGACTTCTCCACAAGTGAAACTGATGTTTGTAGACTTCAAAATATAGTGCATGGGACTTATTTGGATTCTAATTCAATTTGTAAAAAGATGTTTTTGAGCCATTTGGGGAAATTGAATATGGACTGATGAGTAGGTGATGTATTAGTAAGGGTTTTCCAGATATACTGTTTTTATATCAGATAGATGATGATGATGATGATGATGATGATGATGATGATGATGATGATAGATAGATAGATAGATAGATGATGATAGATAGATAGATGATAGATAGATAGATAAATAGATGATAGATAGATAGATAGATAGATAGATAGATAGATAGATAGATATGGGGAACTGGATCATGTAATTATGGAGGTAGAGGGCAAATCTAAATACCAAGATCTGCAGGGTGAGTTGGCAAGCTGGAGACCCAGAAGAACTGATGGTGTAATCTCAGTCCTAGTCTAAAGGAATGAGAACCAGGAAAGCCAATGTTTTAGTCTCTATCTAAAGGTCAGCAGGCTCAAAATCCAGGAAAAGGCATTGTTTCTGTATGAGTGTGAAGGCAAGAAAAGAAAAATATTCAGCTGAACACAGTCAGACAGGAAGCATTTTCTTTGGAGAGGGTCAACCTTTTTGTTTTACTCAGACCTTCCATGGATTGGATGAGGCCCACTCACCATGGGGAGGGCAGTCTGCTTTCCTGAAAACTGCTGATTTATGTTAATCTCATCCAAAAACACCCTTTTGACAATGTTTGACTAGCTATCTGGCCACCCTGTGGCTCATTCACGTTAACAAAATTAATATCACAGGTAATATTAGGTGACATCTGAATCTAAATATTTATATTATACTTATTATATTAGCAAACTACATTATAATTATTATATTTAAGTGTTTTGGTTAGGCTAAAAAAAAGGAACCTTATCTTTTAGAGATCTATCATGTGTGAGATTTGCTTTAAAATATTAAAAATGAGAAAGATGTTGATAATTTTTGATGATGTTAATGGAGGCATGATCATTGATTGTACAACTTTCTCTCATTTGTGCACATTTTAAAATGTGATATTAAAAAGTTAAAAAGAGAGGGAAAGGAAACGAGGGAGGGAGTGAAGGAAGAAGGGAGGGAATGGGGAGAGGGAGGGAGAGAGAGATAGGTGCCTCATGGACAGGCCAGTTCTGTTTGACCATTTCTGCTCTCGTTTCTCGTGCCAGCTTCAGTACAGAGGTGAAGACTTCCACGTTTCCACTTATGTACTTCTCTGTATTTGAAAATTTTAAATTGTTATTAATTTTAAAAGATTACCAAAATAATATATCCTACTCTTTAAAAGGAAGAGAAAAACACAGACAAATACCTCAAATATTGTTCTGATGTTACAGATTTCTAAACCTTTGAATGAAGGAATAAATTGTGATTTATTTGAGCCATGACACAAATTCTGAAGAAAATGAAAATAACATTTTTACAGCAATGGGTCAATGAGGTCTCTGGCATCTCATACAGTGGGAAGAAATTGAAAAGAGATGATGAAATAACTAAACAATATTAAAACTAGTTTATAATGAAGTAACTTGAATAACTTGAACTTTTATTACTCGTGTGTACCAGCATGTTTAGACGTTGCAAAGGACATCAGAAACCCCTAAAGCTAATTTCAGAATTGATTTTTTTTTTTCATTGCCTCTATCAGTCAAAGAAGTTATATTACCCTCTCTTTGGTATTGAGAAGACGCTGAAGTGCCAACAGGTCTAAATTGTTCCAGATGCTACTTGAGTCACTGGAATAAAGCAGAATGAATGTATATGTATATACATATACACAGAGACATACATACACACAAACCTTTTAAAGCTACCCCTAAGGAGGCTTCACCGGTCCCTTGGAAACTCAGTGTGTGAAATCTAAGTAAATTCAGACTCATAGAAAATAAAACATTAGCAACACTTAGATTATAATATTCTATTCAATGGGATTTTTCATCTATTCTCTATAAAATTAAAATTAAAAATGTGATTTGGTGATAAGTTTTCAGGTATATAAATGTTTGTCAATGCAGTTATGTTTCTTAATCACAAAATCACAAACTTACTTCCTAGATCTCGACCTCCATTTTTCAGAGGTTTGTTCATATCAGTGGGTATTACATGATAGCATCTGACCCTAAAGAATTTTTAGGTTATGATATCTACTGGTTTCATCTATCCTATGCAAACTTTTTTCAGAAAAGCATCAGCATCAGTGAGCAAGCTCCTATAAAGAGAGCATATGATAAATACCAGCCATCAGCAGGTACGATAAGTGCCTTGCTCTCAAAAGCAAGGTGCTCACAGGTGGAGGGGTGACCACCTGCATAAGGCCCAGTGGGCTAAATTGTGTGAGGGGAGATGACAATAGTAACCCTACTGATCAGCATGTTGTCTACACTATGCATTTTTCATTAAGACCAAGAGGTCACTTACCTGAGACAGGGGTCTGAAATTATCTTCAGAGAAGGCCTTATACCATCGACTTCCCATTTAGAGTGTCTGTAGCCAACTCAAGATTTGGTAAGAGGTAAAATGTAAATAAAATTGAAAAGGAATTTTCTTCCTTTCTTAATGTCACTTTAGCCCTTCATCTCAGATGTCGCTTGGCTATGTATTGATTCGGAAGCATTTCATAAGCTCAGATTCAGTATTTAACGTTTAGCCATCACAGTGCTGCTATTAAACATTTACCTTTCTACTTAAAAATATTTATTTACAAAAGAAATGTATGCATCTTTTCTACATCTAAAAAGCCAATTTAGATTATCATTCCAATCCTACCCTGTTTCCCACTCAGCTATGATCTGTTCAGTATATATGCTTCCAAACACTTCCTTTGCTCATGAAAAATATGCCAAAAAAATACAAAATTAATTCGAGAGGTTGTTTTTATACATAATTCCTACTAGATACACTGTCGTTCTATTTCCTTTTTCATTCAAAAATATATCTTAAATATCTTTCTAAGCCAGAGTATATAGGGCTCCTCCCATCTAATTACTTTTAATTCCATGGTATTAAAGCATCTGGGATTATTTAGTCATCCCCTTTCATGAGCATTTTGCTCATTTCTTATTTTTCTGCCACTGTAGACACTGCTACAGTTAACATTCTCATACCATAATAATTGTTATTAAAAACATAGAACAATAATTAGTCTCTTTTGGCAATTAGAAGTATTTCTGTAACTTGTAAAGGAAACTCCACCCAGCTACTGGTTACTTCTTGGACCTGAGTACCTTGGCATTTCCAGACATCTCCCTCATAAGGGTCAAAACACTGGCTTCCTGCTCGCACACTGCCCGAGTCCCACACGTTAGAGGTTCATTTTATTAGCTGTCATCCTTTAAAATAAAAATGCCAGTGGATTCTGTAGCCGAGAGGAGGGGTAAGCAGGATTTCCTAAATAAACAAGGAAAAGAAAAGAGATGACCTGGGCAAAAGGGCCATACTGGTGGTTTTCTAAAAGACAAGCCTCACCATCAGTGCCTAGACGTCTGTAGAATTAAGGAGCCAGCGTGCACCTTATGTCTCTCCAATGCCAGTTGTAACCCATCTGTGGGCATCGCCTGCTCAGTTGGTGCAGAATCTGTGTGAGTTTCAGTCTGGGATAAAGCACAGAGGAAAGTGCAAGATCAGTCTGAGAGTGAGTGCCTCCATAAATGTTACTTTCCCGATGCCTCACTGCCTCCCCCTATCCCTTACAGCAGAGCACATGTGCCGTCATGCAGTCGGAACTTGAAATGAATGGGGTCTAGTAAACAGTCATTCCTTGTCAGTCGAGCTTAACAAGCAAATCTCTCAGTATCGCTGTTCTGAGATTTTAGTTAAAAGCATGCAGGTGAACCTTACTTTTCTTTTTTTTTCTTAATGCCTCACTTTATAAATGGTTTTGGTTGCTTTCACAGTCAGCTTATTACTCTGTATATAGAGCAGTGTTCTCAGGTTTACTCACTTCACCATGATGGAAACAGTCTGGCATCGGTTAATATTATGCTCAATAGAAATGCTATTTTGAGGGGATGCCAAAGTATTTATCAGCTCACTGTGTAGAATGGTTGTGGAATTTTTGTTTTAGCTCTTGCCTAGGACTTAGAAACAGTTGAGATAAGAGATGAAATGGGTGCAGAATGTCCCTCCAGGTGGCTGCAGAGACCAGTCCTTAGTCCTTGGCCCATGAATTAGCACGTGAGCCAAGTTCTGCTGTGTTCTCTACTGTAAGCTCCCTGCCTCTATTCAGCCTTTGCCCTGACACCTTCCACAAACCATTCTATGGAAAGCAAAAAGGCTGATCCTGTTATGGATGGAAAGCGAAATATAATGAAGAGTGTTTTGTTTGGTAAAGAACAGAATAATTTTAGAGTGAAACAAATAAAGGTTTTAAACCAACCTC